CTCAAATTAAAAATGTTAGTAAATATACAAAAAGTGTAGAATAAATCTTTAAAAATATACGGTTTAGAATCAAAACAAAGCAGAAGTTTTACATTTAATCTTGAATCTTAATTTTTTTATTATTTAGTCAATGTGGTTATTTCACGTTGAACATTCCTTCAACTTCATTTTTCAGGCATTCTAAGTTCAATTCCTATGATTTGAGCCGTCTCCTATGATTCTGATTCTACTTATCATACGCTTCACTACTTTACTTAAAAATACACGTTTGAAAATTGTACAGTAAACTAATTGATTTCAACATTCTAAGATGTTACTAAAAAGTTTTATTTACTATAGGTAACGTTATCCCTGGTTTTATATAGTACGATATACACAGCGAAACGATATTCGTACAGTATATTACAGAATTGACTGGAAAATAAGTAATTATAATGTAATGTAATATTGCTTACTGGCTTGATGATAAATCACGATCAGCTGTATTGAAGTAAACAAAAATCAGCAGTAAATGGCTTCTAATGCTATTCATATGGAGAACATTTCACGTTATATCTAACTAGCTGTTACCCACGGGCTCCACTCCGTTTTACTACATTAGTATTAATAAAACCTAAAACTATTGATTGGTTAAGTTAAGATGAAATAAACAAAACAGAATACAGTAATGGTAATACAAACAAATAATAACAGCTGAGGTATTTTTTAACATTAGGCAAATGGAAAGTTCCCTTTGGAAAGCAATTACGACCTTATAGGGCAATTTATGAAATAATGGATAATTTTGCGCAAGGTTTCTCGTCATGACGAACATTTTAAGTATATGGTTTATGGGGGGTGTGACTTGTAGTTTTCTCAAAAGTTCATGGGTACTTTTGGCTTTATATATAGATTTTGTGTTAACATTTTGGAAATTTCACTATTTTTCCCGCCGTCACGGGATCGAGACATTTAATTTGAGCCCTCTCCCGTCATTCTACGACTTCCCAGTCGCCCACAATTTTGACGCAAAGAATCGGCTTACGTAATTAACATATAGATGTCTTTTATGAGAATATAAAGTCAAGAAACCCTTTATTAGACTATTAATTGGCCCCGATTATTCCATTCATTCAAAATTTAATTAATTAATTAACTTACGAGTACGATGCCGAGTAATAATATGATCGAGAAGATTATTTTGGTTCGTTTATAAGCCAATCATCGGTCCTAGGTTAAGAACACGACTTTCGGCTTTTAAAATATTGTGTAAAGTGATAAATGTTTGTTAGTTATTAACTCTAGTCGGGCCAAACGGGGTAGTCATTTTCTAGCTACGCAAAAATCGCTGCGAGAATGTATGACAGGACACACAGCTTTCTTTGAAAACTAGCGCGGCTTCAAATCGTAGAACTGTCCTTTTGTTTGGGTTTTAACTGGTGTTTTTTTGTCTAAGTTAAATTTGTTTATTGTGGCTTACTTATTTTATAATATAAATAAATATAGAAACTACGATGGATTTAGTAGATGTTGAGGCTAGTGACACCTAGCGGATATTAGACGAACTGTTGCGGATCTTCTAGCGGAGAATAGACGAACTGTTGCAGTGTCCAATGTCATGATTGGTTCGCATAATTGATAATCGCCAATGCCTATTTGCAGTAGGTATCCAAAGTCAATGGTACATTTGGTTCATACAAAAAGATGCCTATTTGCAGTAAAAAGTCAATGGTAGGGGTAGGCTTAATTCTGGTTCATGGATTGTCTATTTGCAGTGTTCTAAGTCAACGAGTTTCAAGTCTCTAGCTCATCGGGAAGTTAGTATAAAATTGATTGCAAAATTTCTACCTGACAAGAAAGCGAGCTAATAAAAACGTTTTAAAATAACCCTTTGAGAACTATTCATTGCCATTCGTTCAAAGGAAAAGGCTCACTTAGCCTTTGGAATGAAGATTCTTTCTGATTAATGTAGCGTCCATTGAAAAGAAAAGGGGGTAGGCGATGTTGTAATTTCTTCAAAGGCTTGTCAGTAACTAGGTAACTATTAACCCCTTTTAGATTCACAGGCCACTAAAATCACCATTCGCCTTTTAAAAACACAATATAGCATCATACAGTTTATATACAATTCTTCATTAGCAAGATTATAAAATGAACCAGTCTTGTTTGAAATTTTTCTTTGATTATATTTGCAAATAACATGTTTATAAAATTAATCATACAAAAAGAACTGCCAATTTTTCAAATTTTGCCACTCATCCCCAAACTCAACGCTAAAATTGTGTTAATTTTTTAGCATACAAAGCGAGGACTATTGAACAGTTGGGAGTCAAAAGTTAGGCTTCACTTTGGCTGTTGAGGTTGCACCATGCCACTGTACTTTATTGGTACAGTAGAAGCAATTCGTTACCATAGAAACAATTGGTTACATTAGCAACCACGAATACAAGAAAAATACCGGTATGGATCATAAACATAAACAAATGACGTTTTTGGCCCGAAATTAAACAAAGCCATATGTTAATTAATGCTATTAGTATAGGGATTTTGTTTATTTTCGGGCCAAAAACGTAATTTGTTTATGTTTATGCTCCATACCGGGTCTTTCCTAGTATTCGTGATAGCAACAAAAACTAAGTAAATCACGAAAACTACCAACGTATCAAAAATGTAAAACACACAAATGAAAACACACACGCACACACAGATGGCTAGCTACCTGTTGTATGAATTGGCAAGTCGCAAATAGTTTATAGAATTGCAATATAAAGTTGGCCACATACGTCATCTAGGTAAAAATAAGCTCATCAAAATAAAACAAACTGTTAGTAATAAAGGTAATATCATACAGGGATTCGTTTTTGGGAAACGTATAGCTTTCATACACGATAAAGGCTAAACTAATATTTGTTTTTCATATTTCATTCGTAAATATTCCTGTAATATTTTATTTTGGAGAAATATAATATTAATTAAAAGTTCAGTCAAGTAGTATTATAGTTGTATAGTGACAAATTTGAGATTACTTAAGTAGTAGTTTGTTAAAGGTTAGTAATTACATTTGTTTGACTACAAAATTTGCTGGGTTATCCGAGACTTCTATTTATGTTGTGTTGTCTAGCAGAGTAGGTATTTCCATAAAGCAAATTTAAAAAATGCTGAAATCGTCCAAAGCAATTGATGTTGGACATAGCAAGCGATAACGTCGAACTTCGTGTTCTTACACTGTTATCATCAGCAGCAGTCGTGGCCGAGTGGTTAAGGCGTCTGACTAGAAATCAGATTCCCTCTGGGAGCGTAGGTTCGAGTCCTACCGACTGCGAAAACATTTTGCTAAATAATCTGTTAATAAAATAGGTTACCATGAAGTTATGTTATCGAAGCCACAAAAATGAACGAATATATGAACGTAAATTACATTGTGAGATTGTTAAAAATATTAGAATTTGAATGTTGTTTTATTTAGTACCTGTGCAACCTCCGTGCATCCGTTAGATTAAAAGTCCTAACTTTGGTGTTCTTTATTTTCGTAATTTTGCCGATAATCTATATCAGACAAAAACGTTGTAAGAGAAATAAGTCAATAATTGAAGTAAAACGTGTTTAAAGTACCTTTATCATATAAGAGGGTGTATAGAGTACATTTTAGTGAAGATTAAATATATTTTATTTTAATTATTTCAGTGAAGATTAATTATTAAGTGTCTTACACATTAGGACACTATACAGGCACAATTGATTGACTCCTAAATTGAGTCCTAAATCTTCATTTTTAAACATTGTCAATAACCATTGGTACTGCGCCCAAACATTGATAGAGGAATGCTTCAGTGATTGAAGCAAACGTTTTTCAAACTACCTAACCGAGTATTCAATTTGAAATATTTACAGGGAAAAAAATAATAATCTTAAACGCGGGGACACTGACACAACTTATGGTTGACATTTCGTTACAGAATTCCCTGGAATTTCGATTTCTACACATAAGAAACTTACTATAGTTATTTTCATTCTTGATCATGATTTTGAAATTGGATAAGCACCAACCAGAATGTTCTTAGAAAATATGCCCTTCTATATCCCTTGAAAGCTATTTTGATTATTTGTGTCAACTAGTCATTTTATTGTCCCAATAAAGACGGACATACTCCATCTATAATAAATGTTATACCAGTGAGCTAATTGAAGTGACATATTTTTGCCATAACCACCTTCATCATTCTGAATACAATTAAGTATAAAATAAAAGTGAAGCCATACTATAAGATTAAACCAAGCTACTCCTTACTACGATTTTTCTTTTTCAGGCTTCATTCAGTATAACACACGCACAACCCGGAGGAATGGAATTAAGCCCAAATATAATCAACGCACTTATAAAGGCTTATGGAATGAAGAGCCAAAATGGCGGGGAAAACGTACAGGGCGATGAACAGCCCCAAGAGATTTACCAACACGAACTCCCTCCACAGTATAACAGACCAGAACACCGACCAAGTCCACCAAACCAACATGGTTACGATATAGAAGAAAGTGAACAAGATTATGGTTTACCTCAGAGGCAACATGTGCATCCACAACAGCATCCACAATTGCCTCATCAACGTCCTCAACAACCACCTCAAGGTCCTCCACAAATACATCCTAATCAACCACAAGGTCCTCCACAGATGCGTCATCAACCACCACAAGTTCCTCCTCGTCATCCTCCACAAATGCATCCACAAGGTCCCCCACCAATGCACCCCAATCAACCACAAGGTCCTCCACCAATGCATCCACAAGGTCCCCCACCAATGCACCCCAATCAACCACAAGGTCCCCCACCAATGCACCCCAATCAACCACAAGGTCCCCCACCAATGCACCCCAATCAACCACAAGGTCCTCCTCGTCATCCTCCACCAATGCACCCCAATCAACCACAAGGTCCTCCAAAAGTGCATCCACAAGGTCCTCCACAAATGCATCCACAAGGTCCCCCACCAATGCACCCCAATCAACCACAAGGTCCTCCAAAAATGCATCCACAAGGTCCTCCACAAATGCATCCACAAGGCCCCCCACCAATGCACCCCAATCAACCACAAGGTCCTCCAAAAATGCATCCACAAGGTCCTCCACAAATGCATCCACAACGCCCACATTTAGCCCCACAATCGCCTCAACGACCTACCCCTCCCCAAGGACATGGACACCCAAACGAAGAACATCTGGCACAGTATCGTCAGCAAATGCATCAGCAAACCCAGCAGATTCAGCGTCATCAGCAAATACGTCAGGAAGATGAAGAAGTTTCATTCCGTCATAGGTTTCATCCTCAACCTCAGCAGGAAGACTCAGAAGAACCACAGAAAGTCTCCAGGACTTTTAAGACAGGAGAAATGAGAATAGTCCGTCAATAAGTCTGACAACTTTGTAATGATATGTATACAGATTCAGAAAAATTCTACATACTAACAGTTAGATTAGTTTTGATTTGTAGTTGAATATAGTTAACGTAAAAAACTTACTTCGCAACTGTAATTTATATCAGGATATTTTTAAACTGACATAGTCAAGAATACTGAGAATTCTAGATTCAAGAAAAACGCATAACGTTTAGGCTGGATCAAATTATGTAATTAGCTAATGCAATGTATAAAACAAAATACATCACCAAAACATACAATTGACTGTACCAAAAAGTACGGTTTTAGTAGAAAGACAATTAATTTAATTTTGAATCATAATCACTTGTATGCATAGTTTACCGTACATAACTGAACAAATTCAACCTAACCCGAAGAAGCTGGTATATTTTCCTAAATCATTAAATTTAACTTTAAGATTCCATTAGATATCATAGGCAAGATTGTAATGTTAAAATATTTGGTTTAAAAAAAGGTTAAAACAAAAGCTTTACACGGACATTAGATTTAAAAGTACACATTCTAAACTAGTGATGACCTAAAACACAAATATCATAAATTGTAAAATGGCAAGCACGTAAAATAGCACAGTTAAGACCATTCCGCATCAGTTGGCGTTTACTATGGTACTATTCTGATGCGAAAATCATATCAAATGGTAATTAAATAATGGAGGAATTATCGTATAATTAAAACTTACAATGTTATCATAAAACGAGAAACACGGATTAACACAGTTAAAATACTACCCATTAGTTAAAATGGCTACAGAATAATTTTTTCTAAACAACATTTTTAATAAAAACAATAGTTTCAAATATTGATCAGTGGGAAACTACTAATTATATAATAAGGTAATCATGTACTATGTATCATGTAAATTATGTATCATTACTTGAATCATAATCAATTAATTAACTCAATTATTAAGACTCAATCATAAGCCCTTTATTGATTTATTACGGTACTCTGTTTATATTCAAACACACAACCTTATTTTTAACTCAAATTATGATAAATTTAAGAAACACTAAAGGTAAAATTCGTACATGCCAAAAGATTATACTGACTCAAAAATTAAAATAAAAGTTAAAGTTGCTTTTGTATTGAAAAAGTGTGCTGAATAATTAAGCTTATACACATGACTCTAAAAGCCAGTAATAAGTAACAAAATACGTTAACAAAATTTGGTGTTTTGAATCATACATTATTTTGAACTAAACATTTGAATATTATTTTTTTTAAAGGACACAATTTTTAAAACCAGGCTCCTAAATATTAATACCACGTTGAACGTAAAAAAATTGAAAATTGAACGGTTAAAAAACGTATATGATAAAATGAGAAAAAATACAAAAAACAATTCATGTTTTTAAAACCTGTAAAATGTTCAATCTCATCGTTAATAATTATAAATGAATAAAAAAAAATACATAATGATGGTCATAAAAAATACTACATAAAAAATTACGACATTAAAAACTGCTGTGTCACCTCTGGAGCAGGAATAACAATAAAAACTAAACAAAATAACATAAAAAATGAAATTTACTCTGATTTAAATTAAAACAAAATTTGTAATACTTAAGGATAGTACTTGTGATGTATAGATGAATATACATATATCATTACTTGAATCATAATCAATTAATTAACATCAAAGTTTACATTCAATACAATATTTGTATGAATCAAGAGCATTTTCGATAGTTGTAATTAATAATATTGACCAAATGGTCCAAAACAGATATTAATATGATCAAAATCAATTAATTTAGAAGTACCTACCAAAGCCAACCAAACTCAAACTTTGATCAGAATATTTTTGAATGTTTTATGTAAAATTAAAAAATAGCTTAAGAGAATAATAAAATAACTTTTACACTACATTTAAATTCTTTTTAAGTGTTATTATTTTTATAATTATTACTATTGGCTATTTGCTGTACAACTAATCCTTCGTTACACACACATTTAAAAAATCGGCTTGGTTTTAGTTTTAGACGACTCTCTCTAGTAAATTTAAAATTTACAAACATATAACGTATAAATTATTGTAACGATAAATTATTGTATTACATTTTAAGCAACTTGTAATGTGAGTGGAAAATTATCGTTGTTAAATAATTTATACATTTGTTACGTTTTAAATAAATATAACTGTTCTAATTTAATGTTGATTTTAAATTAAGTCTTGGACGTACTCAAATTTTTAAAGTATACGTGATTGATCAGTTTAAAATATTTTAATAAGTAAGCTAAACACTAAGCTACAAAATATTCTAATTTCAACAGTAATTATACAGAATTTCATTCCAATTTAATTGTTAAAATTGTAAGCAATAGCATACACAAATCACAGTTTCTCATTCTCTTTTGTACTTTATTTTTAAGAATGTTTGTTAAAACTAAAACCTTTGCCAAATATAAATTTGTCTTCCGAAATATGTTTTTTTAAATTGTACCCCTTACACCATCTTCCAGCCTTCAGGACCATAATTTTGGCCGCAAAGATGCTATGTATTAGTTTTACTAAAAATTTTACTATGTAAATTTTTTAGTCATCCATTTAGAAGTTTAAAACACAAAAATCATGATATTTATATCCTTCATCATAACTCTAGTATACTTTTTACTATTGATACTTTAATACTTAATGCTTTTTACTAAAATGGTGACCATACGAAGGTAGGTATTTAAAGCGAAGTAAAAAGAAATAATTTACTGTTAAATGAAAATTCATGACTCATTTTACATTTTTCAGATTTTATTTAGTGATTAATAAAATTAAAGAAAAACATTTACAGAGTAATTTAAGACCAGAAAGAACTTGGTGCCGTATTAACAACCCGAGTTATAAGTCTTTTAATAAAACTATATTTCTAAAAAGTTAAAATTGATATTGTTCTAAGGTTCGTAGCTGGTCTTTAACTCGTCTGATTTTAATGCTCAAGGGGTCAAATGGAAGCTCTTACAATACTGAATATTTTAAGGCTCGAACGAACTGCAACCGTTAATAAGAACTGGAGATAGTGGAGGTATAAGAAAAATAATTTTAAAAAATTATCAAACTACGAAACGTCTATAAGAAATGTATGGGGGAGAGTTTTCGTTTGAACATATCTTTTAAACGAAAATAGTTATTTGTGCAACTAAGGGAGCAATTGCAATTTGCACTCGAGTAGCATATTATATTTTTCCTAGAGTTACGATAAAACAAATAAATTGGTAAAGAAACGTGACATATTTTTAAACAGAAGTGAACTTTTAATATTAATATTAACTTACATTTAATGATACAACAGTACAACAGCTGATTTACAACCAGTGCTACCAAACGTATTTCGCGCGCATACGACCTTGTCTGCATGTTACGCGCTCACTATTTCGTGCCTTCACGTTGCAAATCTGAAGTGAGTGAGACAAAGTAATTTAGAGTGAGACAATGTTAAGATTGTCTCACTGATGAGAGAATTGGCCACTTTGCTTTCTCTTATCAGTGAGAGAACATGCACATTGTTAGGTAACTGTAGGAAAAAGATATTTAAAAACGGATTTCGGCATTGAAATCAGTGTAAAAATGTAGTTTAAAATGATGTGTCAGAACCATATCATCAATTAAAAAAAATATATCTATGTCCAATATGGCGGATCCAAGATGGCGCCCAAAAACGCGTTTCCTATGAAAATGAAGTGCTAACGACCCAATAAATATCGGTGGTGGTCCCAAGTCAGTTTCTCAAAAAATGTTCATACAAAATGCATGTAGTAGCCTATCTTTTTTCAAAAATCTTCCAATGTTGGGGAAAGCTGCCATTTTAAATTGTGATTTTAGTGGTTTTCTCGTGCACCGATTTTTGGCAAATTTTAGTATGTCGTTCTGCAAACCCAACACTACAAAATAAAACCATAAAACGTTTTCTTGAAATTTTTTTAAGGTCATATCCTATATTTCTCTGACTAAGAGGTTTTATCGAAAAACTGATAACTGGCTTACGGTTTACTAAAAAGTTCGTGATACTTGTAAGCTTTATATAGAAATGACAGTTTTCACACCTGTTTCCAGAACCTGCACTGTTTTAACAACGCTGTTGTCAACTGAGTCAACAGAATGCGAAGTTGCAGTAAACACAAGACTTCAACAATGGGTTTTACAGCTGATTCAAACAGCTGATGGTGCTGCATTGATAGCATGCTGACTACAGCAGACGACATTGCAAATGTTTGATTTGCACATTGTTGGCCTGTATACACAAATATATGTGTTTTCTTTTATTTTACTCAGGAAATTAACACAAGTTTTAGTTTTGTCGAAACTAGTTGGTCTGCCAGTGCTTCAAAACAGAAGAGAGCACAGAAAATAATAATTGAATATACACAGAATAGACTTCCCATGTAATGTAAAAATTTGCACCAAAAAAACGTGGTGCAAACTTTTGAGATGGTTTACCAACTAATGTCAATTGCTAAATCTATCAGCTGTTTGCTATGAGACTGCATTGATTTTAATTAATATTTAACCCAATGGCCCTGAACTTCATATATTTTCTTGGCTTCAAATGTTGACCGTATTGGGGAAGATCTCTTTCTTTGTCAGCTGACTTCTGTCCAATATTTTAAATGTGTGATAAAAATAACCCTTGGGGTATGTGCCTTTAGGAGAGGGTTTATAAAAAAAACTTGCATAGTCCAGTACAATTAGGTTATGACCCGGACAAAATTGATAACAGGCTGAATATTGGTGGAAATGTTTAAAACAATGTCCTGATTGGCCCACACATAGTCCCAAGAAATCCCAGTTGGGGAACGGCCGCCATCTTGAAAAAACTTCCGCCCCCCTGGAAATTTAGATTTCCTGTTGTATCTTTTAAAGTAATCACCAACACTAAACACTCATCAACACTTACTCTATTTCCCCCTGTACCGAGCAATCTTCTGTGTAATCTTTGCTCAATAGGACAAATGATATTTTTACCTTTGTACTTTACTGTATTATGTAGTTTGCTAGTATACTGTGGATGGCTTGATATAAACACATTTTTAACAAGTTTTTGGTTACTTTTTTCTTGTTATTTTGTCCAACCAACATTAGTTACTTAGCAACCCATAAGGCCAATATAAAATCTTTAAATGAGTTGTGTAGTAAAAAACGAAATTTCCTGAAGTAGTGGCTGTCGCCAATCACCTAAAAACGGCTTGAAGTCTCTAATTCCAAAATTAAGTCGAAATCCTTCCGCTGGATTTCGAGATATATATTACAGACAGACAGACAAACAGACATAGCTCGTGTTATAATATAGGATAGAAGATGTACTATAGCAGGTTTACTAATTTTGAAAATGAGAATTGAAACAAAAGTGATATATATCTTAAAAAAAATATGAGAAATGCATCTATGTGAAATAAATCGTTTTGGTTCAAAAGGAAAATAAATAGACAACAATTTAGGCAAAATTTTTTATTTATATAGTAAGGAAAGTTAGGAACATTTCTTACACGTAACCTGTAACATTGAATATCAAATACAAAGCAGTTTTGATCAAAACCAATATAAGATAATAACATTGTTTTGCGTGCCAAATTTACCAAACCAAATTGGGCTATACTTCTTTGATTAAATGGTTAAATGTACATTAAACCCACATGAAATATTCTACTTTGAAGTAACCAGTACCAGATCATAGTAATAAGATAACTTTGTACCAACGATCATTTTGAAAATTACAAGGCATGCGTGAACTAATTATCAGTGTCTGAATAATTTAAAATCTTAGACATTTTTTTATTAGATAAGTATTGCTGGTTAATGGTTAGAAAAGATAAAATTCAAGATAAAACAAATCGTCAAAATTAAATATCCAACAGCTCACAAAAAATGTTTTATCAAAATTTGCACGATGATTGTTTTTAGCAACTATGCAGTACAACTACGCCTATTCCATTGATGCATTAACTACGGTTATTTAATTAACTTGATTATGTAAATTTTCAATTCATTAAACGACATTAAAATAGTCCCAGAGAAAACAGGCCTGACATACTACTAAATCACAACACAGTTTGTCTTGATCTTTCTGGAGTAGGGTGTGGGGTGTTCAATATACACCCCAAATGTGTATAGTCAACGTGGTTTTATTTTATTTCTCAAACAATTTTTTTATCGTTCTCTTTTGAGTTTACATGATGGACGACTTCATCTGTAGCTTTAACATGGTCATGGCTATGACTATCAGTATTGTGAACAGTGTCCACATGGGGTTCGTCGTGGTGTCCAGGCTTGACATGGTGATTGTCGTGGTGTCCAGGCTTGACATGATGATTGTCGTGGTGTCCAGGCTTGACATGATGATTGTCGTGGTGTCCAGGCTTGACATGGTGATTGTCGTGGTGTCCAGGCTTGACATGATGATTGTCGTGGTGTCCAGGCTTGACATGATGATTGTCGTGGTGTCCAGGCTTATGTCCGTCGGGGTGTCCAGGCTGGTGGCCGTCATGGTGTTCTGGCTGGTGTCCGCCGTGGTGTCCAGGCTTGCCATGGTGTTCAGGCTTGCCATGGTGTTCAGGCTTGCCTTGGTGTCCGTGTCCGCCATGGTGTTCAGGCTTGTGTCCATCGGGGTGTCCAGGCTTGCCATGGTGTCCGTGTCCACCATGGTGTTCAGGCTTGCCATGGTGTTCAGGCTTGCCTTGGTGTCCGCCGTGGTGTCCAGGATTGCCATGATGCCCGTATCCGTCGTGGTGTCCAGGATGGTGTTCAGGCTTGCCATGGTGTTCAGGCTTGCCTTGGTGTCCGCCGTGGTGTCCAGGATTGCCATGGTGTCCAGGCTTGTGTCCGTCGGGGTGTCCAGGCTGGTGGCCGTCATGGTGTCCAGAATTGCCATGGTGTCCGTATCCGCCATGGTGTTCAGGCTTGCCATGGTTTCCGTGTCCACCGTGGTGTTCAGGCTTGCCATGGTGTTCAGGCTTGCCATGGTGTTCAGGCTTGCCATGGTGTTCAGGCTTGCCATGGTGTTCAGGCTTGCCATGGTGTTCAGGCTTGCCATGGTGTTCAGGCTTGTCATGGTGTTCAGTCTTGCCATGGTGTCCAGGCTTGCCATTATGTTCTTTGTGGTGTCTAGGCTTGCCATAGTGTCCGTAGTGGTGTCTAGGCTTGCCATGGTGTCCGTAGTGGTGTCCAGGCTTGCCATGGTGCTCGTCGTCGTTGTGTCCAGGCTTGCCATTATGTTTTTTGTGGTGTCCAGGCTTGTCATGGGGTTCGTTGTTGTGTCTAGGCTTGCCATGGTGTCCGTTGTGGTGCTCTCCGTAACCTCGTGATTTAGATTGGTGTTTATTGCAACGATGCAGTTGTTTTCTGTAGTACTTGTCCGTAAAATCAATGTCAAATTCTTTGGTCGGATGTATAGAATCTGACACATCTGATGTGTCGTCACAATCCAAATTTACATACCTCGGATAATTTGATCTGTGATTAGACTTTTTCAACTGGTGATGGCCATATTCATAATCGGTATCAATAGAAGTAGGTTGACAGGACTCATCGTTGTGTTCACAGCTATATTCGTGATCGTGGTGTCCTTGTTGTCCATGCGCTTGACTGTGGTGTTCATGCTCATGGCCGTGGCGTTCATGTTGACCATAGTGTCCATGTTGACTGTGGTGTCTATGTTGATCGTAGTGTTCATCTTGGCCGTGAGTTCCTTGTTGATCGTGGTGTTTATGCTCATGACCATGGTGTCCTTGTTGACCGTGGTGTCTGTGTTGACCGAGGTGTCCATGTTGACCGTGGTGTCCATGTTGACTGTGGTGTCCATGTTGACCATGTTGTCCATGCGCATGACTGTGGTGTTCATGCTCATGGCCGTGGTGTTCATGTTGACCGTGATTTCCATGTTGACCGTGATTTTCATGTTGACCGTAGTGTCCATGTTGACCGTGGTGTCCATGTTGACTGTCGTGTCCATGTTGACCGTGGTGTCTATGTTGACCGTGGTGTCCATGTTGACCGTGGTGTCCATGTTGACCATGTTGTCCATACTCATGGCCGTGGTGTTCATGTTGTCCGTGATTTCCATTTTGACCGTGATTTCCATGTTGACCGTAGTGTCCATGTTGACCGTGGTGTCCATGTTGAACTTGGTGTCCAGGTTGACCGTGGTGTCCATTTTGACCGTGACGTCCATGTTGACCATGGTATCCATGTTGACCATGGTATCCATGTTGACCGTGGTGTTTATGCTCATGACCATGGTGTCCTTGTTGTCCGGGGTGTTTATGTTCGTGGCCGTGGTGACCATGTTGACCGTGGTGTCTATTTGGACCGTGGTGATCATGTTGACCGTGGTGCCTTTTTGGACCGTGGTGCTTATGCTCATGGCCGTGGTGTCCATGTTGACCGTGGTGTTTATACTCATGGTTGTTGTCTTCATGCTCATGACTGTGATTTCCATGTTGACCGTGGTGTCCATGTTGTTCGTGGTGGCCAGGCTTTTGACCGTGGTGTTTATGCTCATGGCCGTGGTGTCCATGCTGACCATAATGTCCATGGTGACCGTGGTGTCCATGTTGACTGTGGTGTTTATACTCATGGTCGTTGTGTTCATAGTCATGACTGTGATTTCCCTGTTGACCGTGGTGTCTATTTGGACCGTGGTGTCTATTTGGGCCGTGGTGTCTATTTGGACCGTGGTGTCTATTTGGACCGTGGTGTTTATGCTCATGGCCGTGGTGTCCATGTGGACCGTGATGTTTATACTCATGGACGTTGTGTTCATGCTCATGACTGTAATTTTCATTTTGACCATGGTGTCCATGTTGATGTCCTTTTTGTCTTTGCCAATGATCGTGGTGTCTATGCTGATGGTCGTGCTGTCCATGCTGCATGTTGTCGTGGTCGTATTGACGATGGCGGTGGTCTATCCCAGAATCATAGGGATATCCTGAATTATAATCATAACACCAATTGGAACAATTCCCATGAGTAGAGTAAAAGTAGTCGCCATGATCACAACAGTAGCCTTCTTCTTTATGAGGAATTCGGTACGAATCATGACCACTCCGAGAATGTTCATGGGTTTTCTTTACCTGATCGTTTCCCGAAACGACATTTTGATTTAGTTTCGTTTTCTCTCCAATTTGCTTCTCACTCCGAGAAATCTCTTTCGTCTTGTCATGTTGAACATGTGTTATTCCTTCTTTCGAATTCTCTTTCGAGATATGTTTCGAATGCTCTGAGTGATGGTGACTTTCGGAAGAGGGACGGCAACATTCTACTCTGCATGGTACTCCTGCGCCATATATTTCATGAAGAGGAAAAGAGCGTTCTTGACCCAGTAGGTTGGTGAAGTGTGGACGTGTAAGGTACTCGTAGTATGGCGTCACTGAGACTTTGGTGACGTCAGGAGCACATAAGATGTGAGGCACGTTGAACACCACACACTGGCGAGCCTCCTCCTTGGGGTGATCTGGCCTGATGACGGCCGCAAGGCATCCCTGAAAACGAAAAACTTTATTAACATTTCTTTGCATTAGTCCGGTACAATCGTGCCAAGCAATTCATTTGTCAATTAGATCACTATGTTAATCTTTTTTACTAAATTATATGTCACACATAACACACACGACTTGGAAATGGTGAAGGAAGTAGTAAGGGTAGCAGTGCAGAGTGTGCGAACTGTCTGTGGCATTTATGTATCTGCAAATCTAAAATGGTATATTGCAAGTTGTGAAGGAAGTAGTCAAGGACCCTGTCTGTCCGGAGTGAGGGAACTGTTTATAAAAATTAGAGTAAGGTATCTGCAAACCTAAAATGCTATGGGAAGGGAGGGAAACAGGTCCACAACGTAGGAAGTGGTGAAGGAAGTAGTAAAGGCAAGCAGTACGGAGTGTGGGAACTGTTAATGACGATTAGATTAGGGTATCTGCAATCCTAATATGCTATGGGAAGGGAGGGAAACAGGTCCGCGTTGTAGGAAGTGGCGAAGAAAGTAGTAAAGGTGAGCAGTCTGGAGTTTGGGAACTGTTAATGGGGAGTAGATTAAGGTATCTACAATCATAAAATGCTATGAGAAGGGAGGAAAATATGTCCATGATGTAGCATATGGTGAAGGAAGTAGTAAGGGTAGCAGTGCAGAGTGTGGGAACTGTCTGTGGCATTTATGTATCTGCAATTCTAAAATGGGATAGGGGAGGAGGGCAAACAGGTCCACGACGTAGGGAGTAGTTAAGGAAGTAGTAAAGGTGAGCATTACGGAGTTTGAAAGTGGATTAATGTATCTGCAATACTAAATTTCTTTCAGAGTAAATTAATGATTTTGCACGGTAATAGTATATTTAATAACAAGAGTTATAAGTCATCTTAGTGAGTCATTACATATTTGAGACCTTGTTTGAAGAGTTGATTGTTTTTGAACAGTTGACAAAACAAATCAAATCTTTTTTTCCTACAGTCACCCGACAAAGTTTGCTTCCTTGTACTGTTTATAGTACAGAATGCTGCCAATTGCTGCATATTTATACTTTGCCGTACGGTTTATACTTTGTCGTACGGTTTATACTTTGCCGCACATCAGGATCCCAACGAAACAACACAAAACAGCGTGGTTCATATTATGCACGTAATCCGTGTACGCTTGGAAATAGGTTGGCAACACTTAAAGATAATAATACTATGAGCAGCTGATTGACTATTTTAACTACGATTTAACCTGTCATTTCGTGTTTATAGTTTCGGTATTTCTGAACTTTCTGGACTTTTCTTTTAAACGTTTTTAAAACATTCCTACGATGTTAATAAACAAGAAAATACGGTTAAAGTATTTTTTAGGCGCGGAAACAACTTCAAATTACAAAAAACATACGGAACTATATTATATTCTTAAAACGCGGAGCACATTTCTTGCCGAGGAAAAATTGCGGAGTGATACGGACCGCGCGTACTACTTTCTCTAGGGCACCTATTTGTGTTGCCAGCTGAAGTTTAGGGTCCAGTTCTTAGAATTGAAAAGTTTCACTTTACAGCTGTTTACTTTCATATCCGCATAGTTTCATTTCATATCCGCATAGTTTTCTCATATCCACACAGGTAACGGACCAATGAGGTTTGAGAGAAAAGAATTAAAATTGTAATGCTTCGAACGTCAACTAATCAGCTGATCAGCTGATCAGTTGACCAATTTAATTGTTGATCCGACTTGTTCATGTTGATACTCGCGTATTCTTAATTAGGTTGGTGGAAGTCCAAAAATAAATGAAATATTTGCCGAATTGTACCTGATACAATATTATTTATGGTAAGAATGCTGCTAGCAATGTAATATTTAACGAAGTTTAACAAACACGTAATTACAGGAAATCAGCTGATTATACAACAAGTCGTTGCATCACTTTCAGTGGCAATGACAATACACGAAAACATAACCTCTCTAAAAAGTTATCATTAGTGATTGTTAGTAATTAAATCCAGATTGATAGTAATTAAAAAACGGTCGTAGGTAAAGTAGTGTACGCAACTCGCGTTAATAGTCTTTACGACACTCGTAGAAGTTTTTAAGGCACTCGCCAAGGCTCGTGCCTTAAATTTTCTACTCGTGTCGTAAAGACTCACTTAACGCAATCGTTGCGTAAACTACTATTTACCGTGCACTTAGTCAGCTGATGAAATAAATAGCTAATCGTAACGGCCTATTTTATTTTCTGAAACATTAAAATATTTTAATTTATGCTATGTCCTAAATAAATTGTATTATGAGTTTAATATGTACTATTTTTTCTGTGTAGTATGATGTAAAGTATCGTACGTCTCTCGCACGGTAAAACACCACTTACCGGGCTAGTAACGTATTATACTATTTCCTATTAGGTAATTTTTATTTTATTTTACCTAGTGATTGTGGATTTCATGTAGATTTTTTTGCGGTAGTTTGTACAGGCTATTCGTTCACATCGCGAACCGGGTAACAGTTTCGGACAATGTCAGAATTCGGAGTTTGAGCGTGAGCCCCCCATACACTATCGAACATGCCACCCGACCTGACAACCTGACCTGACGACGGACCCATCAGCCAACCTGACTTGTCGGGTGTTTCCCACACACTATCGAGCATGTTACCCAACAAGTCAGGTGGAATATTAGTTCTGAGGTGGATTTCGAGACGACTGTAGCTGTTTGTGGGGGATTTTTAGCGATGATTTTTAGAGATTTTTAGAGCCTACGGAACGAGCTCTTAAATTTTCAATTTTATTTTTAACGAACTTTAAATCACACTCTGGATACAGTTCCTTGCAATTTTCCATCAGAATATCGTGCTCCTCTTTACGCACATGTTTATTGCAATAGAGTTTACTTTTGACATCACACAACGCTTTCTTGTCCTCTGTAGAGTTAAATAAATTCTGACCAGAACTGTTTATTACCATTAAATTACATTAGGGAAAATGGGACGGTTATCACACACAACTCGCTAAATACAAGTCAACTGGAAACTGTGGCTAGTCGGGCGAGCAGTTTGACGGTTTCCCACACACGGTCCAACCATCGATGTATAATAACTCCCATGCATAATAAATCTATGTATAATCGATGTATGTAGTAGAGTATTATACATCGATGGGTCCAACATGTCAGGCGGACGGCTCGAGTCGGGTGGTGCTATCGGACCGAGCATCCGACCTGACATATCCGTCAAGCATGTCGGGTCGGAACCCACACACTGTCCAATATGTTTCGGGGTGGCGGAATTGTACCCCCCTGGAATTGTACCCCCTGCAGGTTAGTGACGTCACGATGACGTCTCATTTTCTCGACCAAAACGGCGTGTACGGGCTGGAATTGTACCCCCCTCATAAAACTTTGATATTGTTATGCACGAGTGGTTTGATTAAATCCACTGGCATCTAAAAAACTGTACGGACCGGAATTGTATCCCCCTGGAATTGTACCCCCTCAGTTATAACTCACTTTTATTTGGCTAGTGTACGGGGTGGAATTGTACCCCCCTGGAATTGTACCCCCCGTCAGTCTAGCCCTTCTTACAGGACCGGAATTGTACCCCCCTGGAATTGTACCCCCTGGTCACCGCTTAAGATGTACGGCCCGGAATTGTACCCCCTGGAATTGTACCCCCCATTTCACCCAGGAGCTTGTCTATTATGATTACCAACTAAAATCAAAACAATAGTTATGTTGGATATTAGAGGGGAATCACACGAAAGTGAACTGAACCAAGTTAGCCGACACACCTAATGAATTGCTTGTTGAGAAAGGATATTCTAAGAAACTGCAAATTAAGGCCATTCCGAGTAACGTGCGAGAGGCCTAACAGACTTCTTTGTACGTTATTCATTAATATTTTCTTAACCTTCCCAAGTACTAACTGTTCATGGGTTAGCTTAAATTCACAAAGGTTAAATCTTTGACAAACTGTGAAATACTTTGTACCAGATACCTACAACTAAATTTTACAACAGGTATTTGACGTGAACAAATAACCATTCCATTCTTATAGCGTAGTTATTGTATACAAACTAGTATAGCTTAGTTATTAGGCCTAAGTGCAGTAATCAAAAGGTAAGTATTTCAAATTTATAGAACTAAGCCGAAATTTGCTGCTTGCGACTCCTCTTGAAAACAAAGTTTGTTAGGATCTGCACTGCTTGTATCGTTAAAAAAATCAATCAGCTTGGGTAATCAGGTTGTTCATGGTTAAAAGAAAATTAATAAAATATGCATATAGCCCGAGGCGAAGTAAAGTGGCGAAGCCAGATTTTTGGATAATCTCTTCAAGATTATAGTTCCTTAGTACAATCACTATATTCTGTACAGGTTTGAAAATCCAACATATGTCACTGTAGAAGGCTTTCTCTACTACTTCATTTTCATAATACCAATCAAGTTTATCGAGTGGGTGGGGGGTACAATTCCAGCCCGTACTCAAGCCAAGCTAGCTGTCCAAGAGGGGGGTACAATTCCAGGGGGGTACAATTCCACCCCGTACGTAAATATTTTGATGTTGGCAGGGGGTACAATTCCGGGGGGTACAATTCCAGGGGGATACAATTCCGGGCCGTACATCTCCTGCTCTTTTTAATATCTAATATAACTATCCGGTTCACTGATCACTTGCCCACATTAAATAGATTAGATTTCGTTCAAATCAAAGTGTACGGGGTGGAATTGTACCCCCCCCTAGGCGTGACGTCAAAATGACGTCAACGATCGCCGGGGGGTACAATTCCGGCGATCCTATGTTTCGACAAGACGTTGGATCCCGACATGTCCGTCCAACATGTTGGATAGTGTATGGGGGGCTCAAGGGTGTCCCAGACCACCCGGCCAGCTTCTATAGCTCCTATACGAAAACAAATATAAACCTAATTGCAACTCCGACCCCTTATTTTGACCCCAAGGAATTCAGCTAAATTATTTTTAAATCAAAAAAAGCACACTAAATGGCAGATTTTGGGGGGTGGGTGTAGTTATTGGGAAATTTTCA